TCTTCCGCAGGCATCTCATTGCCCATCTGTTGGCAGTGGTCGGCCAGAGGGGCCCGGGTCTCTGGGGTTTTGGCGCCCGGGGCTGATGCGGCCTCGCGTTGCAGCGACTCCCTCGCGACCGCCTGCCCCCCGTTTCGGTTTGGTCGTGCGGCTTGGGCCTCCCATCGTTTCCGATGACATTTAGGGAATTGCAAGCAGCCTCCCAGGGCTGGCAGCCGGCTGACCAGAGCCCCTCCTGAACCCCATTCTGCGCAGGCTGGCGTATGACGGCCGCGGCAACTACGTGGTCAGGACGCAGGAGGACCTCCAGAAAGGGCCCGAGGCGCTGGGCGGCTTCGAGCACGGCCTCTACGCCGAAAAGTGAGCGGCGCTGCGGCGGCGCGGCTGCGGCGATAGGGGGGCTGCACAGCAGGTGTCGCCCGCCAGCACGCGCCGGGGTCGTGCGCTCATGCCAGGGTCAAGACACCCGTGCTTGGCCGCTCGCCCTGTGCATGTCTCTCCACCAGCCCGCCTCTCCCCCCTCCCCTCCTCCCGGCTCCCCCAGGTGGGCGCCCTTTGTGAAGGAGCTGGCCGTGATGGTGGTGCGCTCCAGGGACGGCTCCGTGCTGTCATACCCCGTGGTGGAGACGATACACAAGGTACGCTTGCCTCTGGTTATCCTGAGGGGGGGCGGGGAGGCGCCCCGGATTTGGCGGGGTTCACTGGGGTCCCTGGCTTTGCGGGGGTGGTTGACGGCACCCTCGGGTTCCTGGGTGACCAAAGGCCTCGGTCAGCGGGGTCCCGGGGCGCGTTTGGGGCGCTGTGTGAGGCAATGATGGTTCGCCGTCTCCCACGCTGCTGGCGGGGACCGTCAGAGTTGGCCTGCTGCGCTCTTTGGGCCTGTAGTTGCGATCGGCACGCACCTCGGAGCTTTCTTTCTCAAGAGCGGCGCGTCTGGCAGGCGCAGCCGCCGTCTCCTTACCTCAAAGCGCGACCCTCCGTCTCCCGCAGGACAACATCTGCTACGTGACGGAGGCGCCCGCCGACGTGCCGGCCGGCGTGGCGGCCGCGGCCAGGGCGGCGGCGGAGAAGGCCATCGCCTGCCTCGAGGGCGCCGGAATCTTTGGGTGCGAGGGGGCGGCGCGGCCCGCCTGCTTGCCCAGCTTTCTTTCTGCCGATCCGCATTCGTGACGGCCTCATTTGGCGGACATGAACACAAAAACTCCCGGACGCTTCCGACTCGCACAACCGCGCTCCCGCCGCACGAATCGTGAGAACCCCTCTCTTGACAACAGACCCCACCGACACCTCGCCCTCAAACCCTGCCCCCAAAAACCCACCACAACCCCCAAAGAGTCGAGATGTTCCTGCTGCCAGACGGGTCCCTGCTGCTGAACGAGGTCGCGCCGCGGCCCCACAACAGCGGCCACTACACCCAGGACGGCTGTGTCACCTCCCAGTTCGAGAACCACATCCGCGCCGTCCTCGGCTGGCCGCTCGGCGACCCGTCGCTCAACTGCGGCGCGAGCGTGATGCTCAACATACTGGGGGAGGCCGAGGGCGACGAGGGCGTCGCGATTGCGCACGCGCTCATGGCGCGCGCATATGCGACGCGCGGCGCCAAGGTTCATTGGTACGGCAAGCCCGGCATGCGGCCCGCGCGCAAGGTCGGGCACATCAACATCTCCGGCGCGACCCGCGAGGACGCGCGCGCGCGGCTGGCCGCGATCGACCCCGCGGCCGCGGCGGCGCTCGCCTCGACGGGCGACGCGCTGCGGCGCAGCGGGCTCGGCGGCGGCGCGGCGGCGGAGGCGGCGGAGCCCGCGGCGG